GATCCGTCACTTTATCAAATATTGCAGACTCTTTACTGAATTTATCGCCATGGAATTTAAGAAATTCCTCTTCCATAATTTTTGCAACGGCTTGGAAAGCTTCAGAGGGATAAATACAGTTACCTCTCGATAAGAACGACAACCAATGGTGCTCATCGAGAGACTGCATTTTAGCAGTGGGTAGACCAAGATAGCTATGTGAACACCGAAATCGATGTGCGACATAGCCAGCTACATATATTAAAGCCTCGGATTCAATTTTTAGACATGCTACATCTTTTTCAAATTCCTCCAATAGCTTCCATGCTCATCTACAGTCGCATTATAAAAGTTGGGTAAAAGTCCTAATAAATACAAATTATGTAATAATACTGTAATGTTAGACATGATAATAAAAAAATAGGTTTTACGATACAATTATGTTATTTTTATAATTATTATATTAATATATTTATAATACAATATAATATGATAAAATTAAAGATAAGGATAAAGTCTCGCATAATTAAAGAATAGTAAGCCCGCAAACACAATAGATGTAGTAAGCCTTATGCCTTAAAAAATTGATTAATCATAGTCGAATGTGAGAAGAATGAAATATTGACGTATTAAAAAAGAAGTCGTATACAAACGTTTGGAAATATTTGATACAATTATAACAATTACCAGGGCACTTTTTCTTGCTGTTTAACATTTTTGTGACCAACAACCCAGAACTCTCTTCTGTCTTTTTTTCCCAAAATGAGGTACAGTGTTGGAAGAGACCCTTTTTTCAACCGACGAATCATTCGTGGTTCCACATGTTGCGATCGTGGCTGCGTTAGTTTATTTTCGAAACAGTCGGGTGTAAAATGCATTTCACATATTGCAGCTGAAAATAATATTTTTAACATTACTTCATGATACACTATAAATACTTTAATAAATACCATAAAAAGATAACAAATTTTAATGTTATTGTATATTGTATTATACCAATTGTATTTTGTATTATACCAATTGCAAATTACCTTTACGAAGTTTTATATCTCCTTCTTTTCGTCCGCACGCTTCGAGCCATTTTTGTTGTACATCAGGCTCTTGAGGAAATTGGTACAATTTAATGTTTTCTTTCTGTAAGAAGCAGCGTGACCGATTTTGGCAATTAGGAACTGCACACACAGGCATGATTTCTGAAAGAACGACATACAATAAACGTCCAAATTTGTTGAGGTTATGATTCGAGTATATGCATTGAGATTTTCGGTGACTTTTCTGATACTCTTTACGCAAAGGCTGGTATATAAATATAAAAATACTTACTTTTTCCAAAAAAGCACTACAAAAAGGAACACCGCGATGTGCAATCTGATAATTGGCAGAGAGAGCAAATTAGCAATGCACACTGCACACTGCACAGTAACCAGTCATCTGCTTCTGCTGCCATATTCTTTTCTCGCATTGCCGCTCATATCCGATTGGCTGAACTCCCACTCTTTTATTGACTACTGCGCATCCTTCGGAATGCTTCACCTTGTATATTTCCACCATGTCCTTTCTTATAACTTTCATCCTTTCAATATTTTTATCGTTCTCAGATTCTCTGTATAAAGATTTTTGACGAATGACTTTCATCCTTTCTAGATTTTTATCCTTCTCCGATTCTCTGTATAAAGGTTTTACTCGAAGAAATTTCATCCTTTCTAGGTTTTTAATTGTCTCTGATTTTGTATATAACTGTTTTTCTCGAATGCATTTCATCCTTATGGTATTTTTCTTCTTCTCCGAATCCTTATATAAAGGTTCTTCTCTAATGATTTTCATCCTTTCTAAATTTTTCTTTTTCTCAGATTCTCTATATAATGGTTCGTCTCGAATGCTTTTCATTCTTTGTAGATTTTTGTCTCTCTCTGCTTTTTTAAAAAATGTATTTTGACGTTTATTTAGTAATCTTTGTTGATTAGTTGCTCTCTCATTTATTTTATACCTAAAATGTTTACGTATTTGTTTCATTCTTTTTCTGTTCTCCTGTCTTTCGGCTTCCTTGTGTGACATAATTTTCCGCTTTTGAATTATTCTTTGTAAATTCATTTTCTTTTCTCGTATTCTATAAGATGGATCTTTTCGTAATCTTTTTACGCGTTCTATAGTTTTTTCTCTAAATTTATCCTCTTGTATATCTGATTTAATTTTATTTTTATTCTCATTTGAAAATTTATCTTTCTTTGTATCATTATTTTCATTGTAAATTTTTATTTTTTTAATATTAATAAATTGTGTATCATCTTTATTAGATAAAAAAAATATCATTTTCACGTTTACGTTTCTTATTTTGTTTTTTTGTATTTTCTTTTTGTTCATTTTCACGAAATTCTTTATCGGTTCTTAACTTACGCATAAAAAGTTTGTGTTCTTTTTGTTGTATCTGTTTACTCTTTATCTTTAATTTAGGCATTTTTATACCTTCTTATAAAAAAAAATTCTTTAGTGGTCTATTGATTATTTTCCGTAAAAAAATTTTTTCTTGCTAGGCTCGTCCGTCTTAATCTTTGCTTTATCTACCTTAATAACTTCTACAGTGATTAGATTAATTTCTTTCCGCTGCCCTTGTTATATCTTTACTGAAAATTCAGTTTAGTTTAATTTGAGAAATTTATTTTTAGGAATGATTCTATTATTTTCAATTAAAAAATAATTGAAAATACTTTAAAGTCAAAAATTTTTTCTAAAGTTAACAAATTTTTTTTTCAATTTATATTAGGATAACCTGAAACATCAATATATAATTACCTAATTAATTACCCAAAAAAATCAGAATTCAATTCTATGCGTTTTTATTTCAACAATTTTTAGAAATTTTTAAGAAAATTTACCATTTTGTTTTAAATATATATTAGTTTATGTTTGAAAACAGTGAGTATTCAAAAAGTAAAATTGAGCGAGAGAGTGATAGAATTAAAAGAACCAAAAATATATTTACATTATTATAAACTAAAGTTTCAAGTTTTAAATCGTAACAAAAAAGTTTGATTATTAAGATTAATTTTACAGATATTTAAATCCAAACAGTTTTAATTTTAAGTTTATTGAAATATAAAACTCACCTTGTAGATGTACAGCGAATTTGAGTTTGCTTTTCTTACTCACTCAACAATTGTGAGTTTTTTTCCTTTTGCGAAAATCGTCAGTCTTTTGGTAATATTTTTATTTTTGGGGATATCTTTTTTTTATTTGGCAGGTATAATTTCTGCTCCTCTTCTATCTCGAGCAACTAAACTATTTTTTTAAAATTTATTTATATATTAGCTAGTTGATTATTTTAAAAAAATCGGATTATACAGGGTGATTCACAACATTTGTGCCAGAGCTCGTGTGATGTTAACGAGTAATAAACTATCGAAAATCGTCGTCTTTGCCCTGCCCACTGTCCAATTCCAGCGCGTGGCGAGATGTTACCGCATGGCGATCGATATTGCCAGGCGAGGGGGGGGGGGAGACAGCGCGCAGTTGCTGGCGAGCTTTCGTCTCCGCTCCCGCGTCTCGCGTCCCCAATCCCTCGCCTGGCAATATCGATCGCCCTGCGGTCACATCTCGCCACGCGCTCGAATTGGACAGTGGGCAGGGCAAAGACGACGATTTTCGATAATTTATTACTCCTTAACTATTGCGAAAATTGCAAATGGTTTCCGGACTATTCTGTTCATCCCGATATGTTCTACCTTCGCACTAGCTCTGGCACAAATGTTGTGACTCACCATGTATATGTAACATATACAAGTGGGCGCGTGACGGTGAGTTGATTTTAAAAATTAATATTTTCAATTAGTCATTTTGAATTACTCGGCCAAGGAATGAAATATGTTTTTTCGAACATTCATGCTTTGATTGTGTAATCATAGCGAAAACAAGACGACTACAAGACCATTTGTGTGAAATATACAGGTATTCGATATGGACGACTCCAAAGATTATATTAGATTGGGTTAAACTGTGAAGAAAAGTTATACACGGTGTCTGATGCAAAAGTAGCCAACTTGAAAATAGTGGTAGATTGGGTTAAACTATGGAGAAATATCAAGTGCCGCGGTACAAAAGTAACAATAGTTATCGAGTAATTAATTTACACGTCTGAGCGAATGAGGATGCAGAATACGGTAGGCCGGACTCGGAAGGCATTTAAAAAAATCGATCGATGAGCGGGAGGTGGAGCGACGCGCGAGATACACCGTGGTGGAAAAAAACCTAGGCCCGACGGGGAGCGCGGCGCGGGCGGCGAGCGCGGCAGCGAGCGCGAGCGACGGGCCACCCGAAACATAAACATAGTATCTCGCGCGTCGCTCCAC